GAAATAAAAATATATTAATCTTTTAATTTCGTGGGTGAAATTAAAAAATTACACAAATAATACAGAAAAACGAACTCAAAAATTAAATGAAAGTAAAACATTTGACACAGGATTCTGTGGGCTATATAAGCCTTTAGATTTTTTTTTCCAGAATTCACGGTGGGCTAAAACCCAATATGATCCAAAATTCAGGTTCTTGGATCCATAGTTTAAGTAGCCTAAGAACCCAAACTTTAGTCCACGAAAATCTGTTAACCTTTTTCATTTTCCCAAACTACTTTTCAAACAATATTTTTTTAATTTCTTTCACCAGCAAGTCAGCCACCTGATTTTCGTGATTCGATCAACAAACCCGAACCTTTCGAAATTACAAAACCAAATCCTGAGAATCTCAATTTCCATCTCTGATTTTTTTTTCTTAACTTGTTTTCTTCCCTATTTTCTTTATGAAATTAAACTACTAAAAGATGCAGTCTCTTGAAAGCATCACAGATTCCTCATTTCCTCAAAACCCTAACAATTCTTCTCTTCTTCTGTTAATGGGTTGTATGGATGGCTCTTTTGAATGTCATGGAATTTGGCATAACTTAGCTCTGGTTATTCCTTCTCTTCTATTTGTTCTTTTCTTAGGTTTCAAGCCAAAGAAGCTTCCAAAAGCTCGTCTCATGGCAGCTTATATCATGATTTCTTATTACGGTTGCCTTTGGCTTGTTAGCTTGCTCAATCTTGCTTGGTGTTCTCTTCAGGTTTGAGGGTTTTCTTTTTTCTCTAAGTCGATTTTAAACATTTGGGTTGTTCTTGAATTAGCTTTGTTGATTTCTTAAAGGATGAAATTAAATTGCTTTTGTTGTTTCTAGGAATGAATGCACTTTTTATTTTTAATTCTTCACAAGTTTTGTTTAGTTTATATCCAAAATACTCTTTTTTTTTTCTTTGCATCTATGGCATACGCACAAACTAAATGGGTACCTAAATTAGTGGAATGTAATTTGGGTGTCTTGGGTTCATTAGAAATGGCTTGAAAGTTACATATACTTGATGATTTTTCGCGTTATGGTAAATTACAAATTGGATTATTGGACAGTTTTCAAGTTTTAGTTTTTAGGTTAGGCTTCTTTGATGTCGTATGTAAGAACAATGCTCAGAAGCCAATAATGATAATATATAGATCAGTGAAATGAAAATATGTATAGCAAAAGCCTTCTTTGTCGAGCTTAGATGTTCAATAGATGCGTCTAGGCACTAAGCTTTTGGTATGGCATGAGTTTGCGACTAACTCATTCATTATCATGAATGGTGTATAATATCATGATTGTTCCTTTTCATAGTGTATGTTTCCGTTTCGTAAGCATGAGTAAATTTTTTTTTTCTTTTACTTTTTTTTCCATATGAATTGTATATTGGGTGGGATCCTTAACAGATACTGTTTTCTTCTTAATTTGGCTTCTTTGAAAATGAGTTGTGTTAAGCAGCTTGGCTGCTTATCGTTTGATAGTTTGAGAGTTTAGAGGTACTAAACTATATGCTTTGAGAGAACTCATATCCGCTAGGATTTATGAAACATGACCTGCATTGACCCTTGAAGATTCTTATTCTAGTTGCGAGTAAGTTAACTTTTTCCACTTCATAGCTGGATGGCTAAGTTTACACTATTTACTGATTGATGCAGGCCTGGGAATGCAGTCCTGGAAAGGAAATGACATGGAATATCTTATCGTTGTTTACAACTTCTGGGATGCTGTTCCTGGAAGTTAGCTTGGTGGCATTTTTACTTCAAGGAAATTATGCTAGTGGGTTGGAGGCTTTGACTCGAACATTTGTTGTTTCGGGGCTTATTGTTGGTTTGGACTTACTTCTGAAGGTACTTCTTTTATTCTTGAATATTTTAACCTTCTTTGAAGTTCCATATCTGTTGCTGGTGAATCAGACGGTGGTGGAAAACAAAACAGTTTCTTCCTTACTGTACTTTACTAAATAGCAGAGTCACCATTCCTGTGGCCTATATTTAGATTGTTGACCTACTTTAACTTCTTAAGCAATCTAGAATGCTAAGTATGATTGTTTATACGTATTTAAGTTGTTTTATTTTCTAATATGGAAAGACACACAATGTCATTCCTTTTTGTGTTTTTCCCCTTTTGAATTCTTTATAATATTTTTGCCATCAATGCTTAATATGTATGTGACATTAATATTTCAATGTTCTTTTCCCTCGTTTAGGCATATTTACCTATTTGGATTTGGTGTCCCTATGTTCACTGACAACACCGAACATACACATCAAGTGAAATGGGCTTGTGGGTTGTTCACAGGCTAGTGCTGACTGCTATTTATGGCTTCATACTGTTTATGTACCACCTCTAAGTGGAGAGAAAGGTTACCTGGTATGTTCATCTAAGTCACATACATTTGTGCAGGTTATTTAACAGTAGTCGCTTAGTTGTGTCACTTGGAATCTTCTCTCTTGTTCTGCAGCAAGACCTGCATTCTACAAATATGTTGCAATCATGTTCATCTTGAATGCACTAGCACTGATTGCTTGTGGACTAACTGGAAATGGTGCTAGTTTTGGGTTTTGGTAAATACAAGCTTTGATGCCCTTTTTAAATTGAGAATTCTGTTTGTTATTTATATTAGTATATTATGTTCTTTTCCAAGGTTTTTTTTAAAAGAATAAGATTGACAGGTTGTACAGTTGCCACAATTGTTTGCTACCACGCCTTGTACTTCCTCTTCTGTATATAAACTTTTCTGGCAGATTTTTTCCAGGTAAACATTTATTTCGGATTCATTGCAAAAAATTTTATCTTGTTATTGATTCTTTAGCACCTTATATATGTTAGTACGGTAAAAGTATCTCCAATGCCTTGCAGGAGGAAGACTCTGCACTTAGAGAATGTGTACTATTCAGAGATGAAGATGCTGGTTTCTATTGATGCTGACTGGGAGTGAGCACTGTATCAACTTTGAATTACTAGATTCCCTTTTCGTTAGGATCTGTAAATGAAATTAAATGCAATTCAGATTGTAAAATGTTTGATGAAAGGGATGGTTGATCGATGCATGCATGTAGTATTTATAGATACTGCTCTGGTAATGGCGACGTAATCCTGTAGCTCGTATATTTGTAATAATCTCCTGTTTTATAAATTTAAGTTGATTGCAAATAAAACTTGTTCAATCTTCTTGTAGCAAAAAAACTAGAAGCATTGTGTACGTTCTTGTAGAATTTCTCTTTTAGTTTTGTGTTATTGTAATAAAATTCCAATTAACAGCTTCATGTTGATGGTGTTTATGCATACTAATAGATTGGTTATCCTTCACGGTTTCCCTTTGCATTATTACCGCAGGTTTGTTGATATTTACTCTTTGCCTCAGCTTAATGGGGCTGAGGCATCAAATATCCGAAACATTAGCCGTATCTTTATTTCTCCAGGCTTCATTGTGTCGGTCTCTTTAAGAGTGTAAATGATATATTAGTATTTATAAATTATTCGAATTTAATATAAATAAAATTTTAATTTGGTTCAATTATTATCGAGTTTGAGTTCGAGTTCGAGTAGCTCGATTTATCGATCGAGTTGATCTTAAGTATTTTTATATTCGACTCGAGTAGTTCACAAGTTTAATTGAATTTTTATATTTTAATATATTTTAATTATTTTAATTGATAAAATATTTTAAACTCAAGTATAAATAATTAAGTTTTTATCGAATATAAGAATTGAGTTTATTTTTATATATTAATTAAGATTAATCAAATGAATTTTAATAGTTAAATTTTTATTTCGAATCAAACTTAAATTAAAAAAAAAAAAATTCGATCGAGTTTAAAACTTTAAATTTGAAATTAAAATTAATTTTAAATTTAATGTTATATTTATTCAAACTTTATTGATTATACTCTTAATTTTATCTATGTTAGTGAAGCTACGGGACATCTTTTTCTAAGGCCTCAGTTGGATTTAACTGAAGCTTCAGTGTGTTGCGTTTTCTACACTTTTTTCCTTCAATCTCACCGTGATTCATATTTGGATAACATCAATGATGGTGAGTTTACTAGCGTGAATCGCACTAAAACATCAGTTGAAGACAGGACTTTTGGGGTTCAATGCCAATAAATCTTTTTTATTCACATTATTTTTTTATATTCTTATCATGCCCTTAAATGAGTTTTTATTTAAAAAAACCTAAAATATGATTTTTTTTAACTTATTTCTCTCTCTTTCTGTTTCTGTCACCATCTTAAATTTTTAACCCTAAATTGCCTCCTCCTTCGTATTATCGCCCCTTGCTACTGTCACTTGTTCCATTTCCCCTTGCTATTGTCACTTGTTCCATGTTAAGGACATTAGATAAAAATATTATTTGATATTAAAAAATTTAAAATTTTGTAATTATTTATTAATTTAAAAATATTAAAAATATATAAATTTATTATACATAAATTTTAATTTAATGTTAATGTAATGTTTTTAATGATAATTTTTTATTTTTACTATATTTTATTTCACATTACTATTAATTTACATTTAAGGAAAGGTGATAAGCTAATGAGATACCAAAACTCGATGGTGGTAAAAGGTTTTTGTCAAAAATTGGACATTGATTTTTAATGAGATCTTCTCTCCAGTTGTTAAAAAGATGAGCTTCTGATTCAAGTAGTACTAGGATTAGTAGCTAGTTTGGAATTTCTGAGCTTAAACAACTTGATGTCAAGACTGCATTCTTGCCCATAGTGACTTGCAAGCAGAATAATTTATATGGATTAGCCTTAAGATTTTGAAGTGAAAGGGAAAAGTACTTAGTATTGTAAATGGAAAAAAAAATTGTATCCAGCTTAAACTAAGCTCCATGATAGTGGTTAATAAAAATTTGATTCTTTTATGGTGCAGCCAAGCTATAAAAAAAAAGATAAACGGAATTTTTATGAGTATGTCAAAAAAATTTTTGATGGTAACTTCATTATTATCTTATTATATGTTGATGATATGTTGATTATGGGACAAAATGTTAGTATGGTTCATAAGTTGGAAGAACAATTATCTAAGTCTTTTAACATGAAAGATTTAAGTCCAACAAGGCAAATTCTTGGTATGAATATTATCCAAGATAGAAGAGCTAAAAAGTTATGGTTGTCACAAAAAAATATGTCAAACGATTGTTTAGTATATTCAACATATAACATGCTAAATCAGTTAGTAGTCCACTTGTCAAAAATTTTAATTTGAGTAAAAAATCTTATCTGATGACTAAAGAAAGAGTAACTAGCTATGTCTAGTATTTCTTATTCTTCTGTAGTCGATTTCTTGATGTATCTTATAGTTTGCACATGACCTAACATTGCTTATGCAGTTGGTGTAATAAGTAGATTTCTTTCTAATTTAGGGAAGATTCACTGAGAAGTAATGAAATGAATTTTTAGATATTTAAAGGGCACCTCAAAAATATGTTTGAGTTACGAAATTTCACAATCAATTCTAGAAGGGTTTACTAATGCTAACTTAACAGATGATCTTGATGGTAGAAAATTTACTTTAGGGTATTTGTTCACTTTTACAGAAAAAGCTATGTCTTGATATTCTAAGTTGTAAAAGTGTGTTACCTTATCAACTACAAAGGCTAAGTATATTACAATAACTGAAGCAAGTAAAGAAATGCTTTGGATGAAACTTTTTTTCTTGGATTGGGGTTAAATAAAAAAGAGTATGTGATATTTTGTGATAGTCAGAGTGCTTCAAATTTAAGTAAGAATGCTATGTACCATGCTAGATCGAAGTACATTGATTGTTAGATGTCATTGGTTACTTTTGATAATTGAAGAATAGCAGATGCTATTGAGAAAAGTCATATTTATGAGAATGTGGTAGATATGTTGACTAAGATACTTCCTAGAAAAAAGCTTAAGCTCTGCAGTAACTCGGCCAGAATAGGTTTCTTGGGTAAGGTAAGTTCCAAATGAAATTGCCATGGTAAGGAATCTCCTTATATTGGGGTTAAATAAAGATATTGTTAAGAATATGTGGGATCCAACCCCATGATATCGGTCTTAACCATTCAAAGTTTTAGGCTACCCTAAGAGAGCCCTAGGTAATAAAAGAAAAAAAAAGTTGTATTTTTTGGTAAGAAACAGAGGGTTAAGTGTCAAATACAAAAAAGAAAAGCCAAAAAAATAAAGAGAAAAGAGAGAAAGGAGAGTTAGTTAAACATAATCAATCTATGGTTTGATTGAGTTAAAACTTTGTCAACATGTTTGCGATTCAGAGTTTCACATTCTAAACAGTGAAAATCAGGTTTGAAGCTTTTTAGGAACAAATTCAAAGAATATTTGTTGAGTCACCGATTTGATGAGATTTCTTCAATTATCTTTCTAGTTATTGACTAGCTCTAATTTTAACTAGAAGAGAACTTTGTATATTCATTATTTAATAGTAAAGATTTTTCTAATGGTTCGTGAATTTTTTCCTTTATACTGAAGGGTTTTTCACATAAATTTTAATGTGCTTTATTTTTCTTATGTTGTTGAATGTTGATTATTGTTTATTATTATAAATCTATTGTGATACATTATAATATATTACTTCTGCGTTGTTGTATTTGTTGCTTTAGGTCCAACAAATAAGACGTTTTGCCTTAGTTTGGGAAAGCTTAGAGACGTCTTATATGATGCTAAAGATGTGCTTGATAAATTCAGGTGTGAAGTGCTGCAAAAAGAGTTGATCAATCGTGGAAGCACCACCACCAAATTGGTACAATTCCCTGCCCTCTCTATTCCATTTGCATTCCCTTTAAGGATAAGTCATAAAATCAAAAGAATCAATGAAAAGCTAGATACGATTGCTAGTGATTTCAAAAAATTTAATCTTAGACTTGAAGAGAAAGTTCAGAACCGACATGTTAGTCTTAGAGATGCCCACTCCTTCGTTATACCCTATAATGTGATGGGTCGAAATCAAGCTAAAGAAAACATCATAGATGTTTTAGTCAAGCCAACCGTTTTTTAAAAAATACCCGTCATCCCTATAGTTGGAATCGGAGGTTTAAGGAAAACCACACTTGCTCAACTTGTGTACAACGATGAAACGATCACTAAGGTCTTTCCCTTGAAAATATGGGTGTACGTGTCAGATGAGTTTGATCTTGCTAGGTTGCTTTGTGATATTATTTACTCCATTACAGAGGAAAGATGTAATGGCTTACCAGTTAATGCATTGCAAACTCATTTGCGAATGCTTTTAAATGGTAAAACTTTTTTGCTTGTTTTAGATGATGTATGGAACAAAGATCATGTAAAATGGATGGAACTGAGAGATTTACTAATGACAATGGGTAACTTTCAACAAAGTAAAATTATTGGGACTACACGAAGTTCAAAAGTTGCTTCGACAGTGGGTACTATTGCTCCGTACAACTTGAATGGTCTTAGCCACAAAGATTGTCTGTCTTTGTAAAACGGGCATTTCAGGAAGGGGATGAGAAAGTTTACCGAAACCTTATGAGAATTGGTGACGAAATTGTGAAAAAATTCAAAGGGGTTCCATTGGCGGTGAGAACTTTAGGGAGCTTACTCTACATGAAAATTGAGCTTCATGAATGGGAATTTATAAAAGATAATGACATATGGAAACTTAATCAAAATGAAAATGACATCCTACCTATGCTGAAATTGAGTTATAGTCATTTGCCATCTCATTTGCAAAGGTGTCTAACTTATTTGTCATTGTTTCCAAAGGACACTATTTATGATACTGATTACATCGTCCAATTCTGGATGGCCATTGGACTTATTGAAGGCCCTAAGCAAAACGAAGAGTGAGAAGATGTTGGGTTACGATATTTCAAAGAATTATGGTTGAGGGGTTCTGTCCAAGATGTCGAGGATAAACATCCATTTTACACATTTAAAATCCATGGCCTAATGCATGATCTCTTGTCAAATGAGTCTCAAGATGACTGCTTAACAATTTATCCTCATACAGTAAATGTTGCTAAAAATACTCGACATCTGTTATTTTCGGATGATAATCCATTGGGAGCTCCACAATCATTTTCGAAGAATTTAAAAGTTGTGCGGACATTAGTGATCCTACCTTCTTCAGGAAGAAATAGGATAATTGAGGAACATTTTGTAAATGCTTCTATCTTGAATTTCGAGTTCCTTCGGCTACTTGATCTCTCCTCTTCATCTTTGGATGTATTGCCCAATTCCGTTAGCACCTGGAAGCATTTAAGATATCTTGACTTATCCAGCTGTCGAAGAATGAGGAAACTTCCTACTTCTATCCGTAAACTTCAGAGCTTGCTGACTTTACGGTTAACTGGCGTTCCACTGATTGAAGTACCTGAATGTTTGCAAAGCTTGATTAAGTCTCAGATTTCTAGAGATAGCCACAGATTTTGTGTTTTTAAGGGATATTCAACCAGGATGTTAGAGTTCGATTCAGTTGTTGCTCTTGTTCGACTGTGATATGATAGAATCTATATTTGATGAGATCCAACACCTCACATCACTTGGAAGATTGGATATCCAAAGCTGCTCTAGATTGATTTCACTGCCAAGAAGTCTGAAATTTCTAACCAAATTAGAGGAAATCAATATCAATGGCTGCCAAAAAATCAATTTGTCAATGGAACAAGGAGAAGAAGACCAAGACCTTCAAAACTTTAACAATATTGGAAGCAGAAGCGTTGGAGGATTTGCCACGGTTGCTTCTTCAAGGATCAGCTAGCCTTTTTAAATCCATGCTAATAAGGAGATGTCCCAACTTCAAGGTACCACCAGAATGGATGCAAAAGCTCACATCACTTAACAGGTTGGAGCTTGAAAGTTGTCCAGCATTATCCTCTGTTCCCGAAGGACTGAATCGCCTCACTGCACTTAGACAAGTAAAGATTCAAATATGTCCTGCGCTACGCCAAAATTGACAACCTGGGGTTGGTGCTGATTGGTCCAAGATTGCACACGTTCAAGAGGTTCATATTGAAGATTAGTAGATCGTCAAGCCGCACTCAAGGTGTTTACCAATCTCTCATTCTTTTTTCTTCCTTTATGAGATTTCTTTTTTCATATTAAATTTTCCAGAATACAGAATTATAAGAAAATTGCTCTAAATGATATGTGCTAGTCAATTCATCCATCTTCCTGAAATATCTGACACTTGCATTGATTTTGAAATGATCATAGGTAAATTAGTCTGGATGCTTTGGTAAAAAATAAAAGTGCAAGCAGGTGAGACGATTTCATCCAATCTATTTAGCTTGTTTGTTATCAGAAACATTTCATAAGAATCCTTCAATTTTTGCTACACTTTTTCATATACTATTACTCTTATAGGATCTGTCTGATTGAGATTTTTTGCTAATTATCTTTTTTTTTTTTTATGCATAAAGGAAAATAAAAGTATAATCATCCGTTTTAAAAGGTTACAATTAACTATAGCTAGGTGATAGAAATAGTCATAGCTTGTGGGCTTTCTATAAGATGAATGTAATTACAATATTGTCTTGTGTTTCTCTTTGTAGTTACTGTCAAATTGAGATACTTAGGTGCATGTGTCACGGATCTAAGGAAGAGTCTTGAATCTCACATCGAACATAATAGGAGGGTCACTGGGGTATAAAAGGGTTCACACCATTTTCGCCTTGTGAGGTGCCTTTTGTAAGACAAAATCGTGAGGCCAAGGGGCTAGAGCGAACAATACCTCACAAAAATATGAACCGTGATGGTCAGGCTGATTCGAGACACCGAAAGGGTGAATGCTCGGGTTTCGAAACCGCGCGGGTTCGGAGCTTAAGTCTCGACCCGTGACAAGTGGTATCAAAGCCAGCCCTAAACCGTTCGATCCACGCCAAGCACTTCGAGGGAGGTAGACAGGGTGGCCAGCCTCCGTGACAAGGGCATCACGAGATTGGGTGCGGAAGAATGTTACATAAGGAAGAGTCATGAATCACATATTGAACATAATAGGAGGGTCACTGAGGTATAAAAGGGTTCAAACCATCTTCGCCTTATGAGACGTCTTTTGTAGGACAAAACCGTGAGGTCAGGAGGGTCAGAGCCATTTGGCTTCAAATCAAACCACTGCGGGTAGCTCTTATGGTGTGGGAAAATTCAACCAAACCCTGCAAGGCGCCGTCTGTTCAAAGCTTTTACTTTCTTTGACGATCATGTGTCTTGAACCAGACCTGTTTATCTGTTTGCCTAATACTTGTGTTTTAGCTATTTGTTTGTGTTCTATCTGTTTGTGATTGGATCTTTTGGAATGAAACCATCATCTCATAACTGTTGGGTGACTCCTTGGGACAAAAGAACTCTTCTTGCTTGAAAAGGGAACATCAGGCATTCAACATGAAGTGCCCATTTCTTATTCAACCCAATGAGATTTCGACCTCCGTCGTGTAGTGTAAGAGTTTAGACTATCTCATCCCAATGAAATTCACCCCAAGTCATTCAAGACCTTGACCTGATATTTGAGTTTTTGGTTTAACAGTCCTGTCGTGTCAGCTGGATGTTGAGCCTTTTGTTTGGGCGTTACCTTTTTCAGGGTCTAAGCCCCCCGAAACTAAAAGCTACATTGCCCATTTCCCTATAATTGTATGTACGGCTTATCAAAACAAAAAATTAAACACTACCAAGTACCAATTTAAAAGAGCACACAATCAAATCAAATAGTTTTAACTTGACTTACAACACAAAAAGTTAAATCCATAATTTAACCAAAAAGCCAACAATTTTGAGTTTTTCTAGAATGAACAAATAAATAGACGAGAGTTCACAAGAAGATTGGAAAATATTTTAGATATAGCAGGCTGGTAAGTGACATCAATATGGGCAATGGCATATGAACCTTCAACTTCGGCCTTGTTTCTAGGCACCTTTCACGCTGCAGAGTTTCCCAATAAGATCTGCTTCTTCTTTAACAGTTGCGATGCTTTGGGCATTGTCTTCTGCCATGGTAATTCCAAACTCTTCCTCAAGTCCCATCACAATCTCAACCTGAAGGGGCATTCTTCCAATTATGACACGAACTACAGCCAATAACCTTCAAGTAAAAGAAACAACCAATTGATAGAAGGTACAACACAGAAAGGGGTAGAGTGGGAGAGAGCTTAGACTTGATGAAGAAATAACAAAATCGATGCCTATTGTTTTAGCCAACATGCAACAAGCGTCGACGTGGCATCTCTTTTTTTTTTCACTTTTTTAAATATTTTTTTAATTAAATAAATTTTATAATAAAATATATCAGTCAATAAAAATTATAAAATAATTTATATCCAATAAATTTCAATCAATCTTGATCTAATGAAAGATAATTTTTTATATTAAGATTGACAAGAAACAGATAAAATTAAAAAAAATAAAAACAAATTTAGGTCAGAAGCATATTTAATTTGTTTTGTCTTAACCTATTTCAAGATATATATATATATATTTATTATTTATTTAATTTTATATATGTATTTATTGTATTAATAAAGTTGTTTTTTATTTTAATTTAAGAAATTAATACTTTAAACTCAATATGAGATGTTAATGTAACATTAGCTATGAGCTTTTTTTATTTTTCCCATTTTTTTATTTTCTCATATTTTACTTTTTTTAATCTTTTTTGTTTTTCTATTTATTTTTAATTGGATAATTTTTTTTTTTAAAAAAAGGTCAATTAAGGAATCCATATGTCATTCTCCTTTATTTTTTTATCTTTCGTTTTTTTGGAAGTTTTCAAATTAAATAAATTTTGCCAATAAATATGATAAATGGAGATAACAAAACAAAACAAAATTTACCCATAATTGGTCCTAGTTATTTTCAAAATGTTGTGCTTCAAAAGAATAATTAATATAACAAAAAAATTAAAAATTAAAAAAAAGGGAAAAGACAAATAGTAAAAGCACCATTAGAGATTTAAAAATAATAATAATAGTTCAAATGCAATTTGATCTTGAATAATATCACTTTTCATCATTTAACATTTTAAAAATTTACTATTAAGTATCCCAATTTTGCTTTCGTTAAACACTTTACACCACTGATTAATATTGTTAGTTAAAATATAGAAAAAAAATGATTCATATGTCATTTTAAAAAATAGTTTCTAATTTTTTAAAGAAAACGAATAAAAACATTTTTAGAAATTAAAAATTATAAAATTATAAATTTTTAGAAAAGGACCATCTTTCCCCCTCCTCTTACCCTTCTCTTTCTCTGTGATCCCTTTCTCTCTTTTTCTTTTTTTTTTTTAAATTTTCTTATTTTCTTTTTCTTTAAGTTCAAAAAGTATAAAAAAAATTAAAGATGATGTGATACTTTTTGATCACATATCATAATATTATTAATTATTTTTTAAGCAAATTAACTTACTGTTTATAAAGTTAATGTTTATTGCAAAATACTTAACAAATCAAAATTTAGTTACTTAATCGTGATTTTTTTTATATGTACAATATAGTTAAAAGCGATATAATTAAAAAACTAAATTGCATATTGACCCTAATAATATTAACAATTACTTTTGATGTAAAAGATAATGATCGGATCACATAGCATTGAACTTTTGGGCTTGTATTGAAGTACAGAGAAAACAGGGGAGAACTACCAATTCCATGGCTATTGCATTAGTCAAAGTTGGAAAAAGCGAGGAACAAGGGCACAGATTTATTATGCTGTCAAGATACGCAAGTTACAAAGAAGTTTCCTTGAATTTGGACAACCCTAATGATGTCCCAGTTTGAGTAGATAAGATTTAAGTAATGATTCTTTAAGTAAAGTTGTTAAAGTCTTCTTTTTTTTTTTTTTCAAACGATCAAATAAAT